AACCAAGAGAGTATGGAGTCCAGAAGACCATAGAAAAACGTTGAATAAAAGCCCTTTCCAGGGAAAAACCTTCGTTTCTTGCTGTCCCTGTATGAAATTATTGGTGTTTCAGCTCAGCCAGCCAGCAACTATTTGTTTAGTGCTTGCCTCATCATAAAGCCTTGTCCTTTGAACATCTCACTCCTCCCTGAGTTTCAGGGATGGGTAGACCCTGTACAGGGTGCCTCCTGACCAAATGGCTGTCATTGACCTTTTTGAGAGCTACTGGGTAGGATAGACGCTACAGAGACAGCTCGGGAGGACACTGGAGTTGTGTGTTGAAGAGGGTCCTACCCTGGGTCTTCTCCCAGCAGTTGTCCCACCACACATGCTTCCACATGCTTCACATTGTGTGGTAGGGATCAAAGGAGGTGTAATGCTGGGGCGTCTGGCTGGCTCAGTCGCTAGAGCATGTGACTCTTAATTTCAGGGTCCTGAGTTCAAGTCCACATTGAGCATGGAGCCTAGTTAAAAAATAAAAAACGTGTCACACAAAATCTGACCTTCTGTAACAAAATGCCTGTGTTTCTGGGGTTGTGAGCCTCCTGGTGGTAGCACTGGCACACTCTCTGCTATGCCTCCAGGGCTCAGAGAACTCCGTTCCGCTCTCTCTGTGCCAAGAAAAGCACCAAATTTATTAGCTGAAACCTGGGGCTGCCATAAGATTCAGCAGTGGAGTCCTGGCCGTGCTCTTCTTCTCCTGCTTGAAGTCAGGCTTGCTCCGTCTCTCCCAGGAAGTGCTTTCCTTCAGGGGGCCAACCTAGGATCCTCTTCTACCCCCCACCTCCACCTACCATTCCCCCCCCCCCCCCCCCCCCCCCCCCCCCCCCCCCCCCCCCCCCCCGGGCCAAGTAGCATCTTTCTGTCTAAACCAGGCAGCCTGAGTGGCGAGAAGGGAAGGATGGGCTGTCTGATTATTTCCTCAGCACAGGCACTTGCCCTCTCTGGACTTTTGAGCAGTGTGTGCACTTTCTCGTGCCTGCAGATGTCCCAGTTCATCGTCCAGTGTCTGAACCCTTACCGGAAACCTGACTGCAAAGTGGGAAGAATCACCACAACTGAAGACTTCAAACACCTAGCTCGCAAGGTATCCCCTGTGCTTGTGATCTGACAGTGTTCTGGGCAAACCGTGTACCCTTCACCACAGAAAGTGGTTTTCCTTGCCGGAAGCCCAGGCTGGGGACCCAGGAAGAGGGTGGGGAGGTCTGGGAAGAGAGGGTAGGGTAGGGTTGGTGGTTCTCTCACAGACTTGCAGAGCTGAGCTTCCCCTTTCTGGTGACCCCAGCACCGGGCTGCCCCAGCTCATCTCTTGATCAACCCGAGTCTTGGTAAGAAGGGCCCTGAGGCACCAGGCTGGCCTTCACCCCCTGAAATCATTTCCGCTGTGGTCTCTCTTTTTGTGTCCTGGACAGCTGACCCATGGCGTTATGAATAAGGAGCTGAAGTACTGTAAGAACCCTGAGGACCTGGAGTGCAATGAGAATGTGAAACACAAAACCAAGGAGTATATTAAGAAGTACATGCAGAAGTTTGGGGCTGTTTATAAACCCAAAGAGGACACTGAATTAGAGTGACTGGTGGGGCCAGGGTGGGAGGACAGGCGAGCAGGTAGGACAGACTTGGGAGAAGAAACCCTGCGGGCCCCCAGCCCCAGCCCTCTGTCAGGGCCGTGCTACTGGCTCCTGGTGACGCATCGCCCTGGGGAATTCAGACCTTCAGGTTTCAACTGAAAGCCACGAAAAACGAGCTCCATCTACCACAAGTAATCCCTGGGGTGTGGCTGGAGCCCCATCAGAGGCAAGGGCTTAGGGAAGAACCCCGCTACGATCCTGGCCAGGCCTAGCCCCACTCCCAAACCTGGGTCTCCTCCTTGGCGGTGCTGTCAGCGCACAGACCCATGCGCGCCCCCACCCATGACCCCTCACCCTGACGATCTGTATTATATTTTAATGTATATGTGAATATATTGAAAATAATTTGTTTTTCCTGGTTTTGTTTGTTTTTCGTTTTGCTTTTAGCCTCTACGTGCTAGATCACAGAAAGACTTTGTAAGGACAGTTTAAGTTCTCCTGCAAGGTTTAATTTGTTATCATGTAAATATTCCAAAGCAGGCTGCCTTGTGGTTTCGGCCAGCCTTGTGCTATGTTGATAAGATTGATTTACTGCTTAAAATCACTTTACTTTATCCAATTTTTACTGAACTTTTTATGTAAAAAATAAAATCAATTAAAGAACTTGGCATCCGTGTTCCCTAAAGGCTAGTCAAGCATGTTTGTATATAGTGATGTCACTGGAGAAAGGGGAGACGGTGGCCATAGGTGTGTGAAGTCCAGAGTTTATCTTTGAGCTTGGAGTTCATCACGGGCCTTGTTCCCAACAGGTCCCCACTGTGACAGACACTTCTGGCCCTGGAATCTTGTGCCTGTGTGCAGGGTGGAGTCAGCTTTAACAAGTATTCCAGAGCAAAGGAGGTGGGCGCAAGGGCCTCACTGGCTCTGGGCTTCTTTACTTCGGTTAGTAGGTCGGTCTGGAGAAGGGCTCGAGAATTCCCCTTTATACCTCCTGACTGAGGCTGGCATTAGCCCTCGTCCCTCCAGAACTTGAGTTCCCCAAGCTCACTGGAATGCTCTTTGGATGTTTGGGTTCTCTGACCTCCCCCACCATGAGTCCTGACACTGGGCTTGGATACTAGAGGGAGGACCCCTATAACGGGGCACAGCGCACAGGCTGTGAGAGTGGGCAGCTCCTGGAGGAGGCAAGGCTCAGCAGCAACCCCTCTCCCCCACCACCCTTGGACAGACCAGTGGTCTGCACTGGAGGCTCAAGGCTTCAGTCCGGTCTGGGGCCATCTTTACAAAGAGACTGGTCCCATCTCTTCCTCACCAGGGCTGTTGCTTCCCGCAGCAACGCCCTTGGGAAGTCTTGGGCAGGGTGGACAGCTGAGCACTCGCCTGCTGCCTGCTGGGTGTTACACTGGGCACTTTTCACGCTCAGATCCTGCTCATTCGATCCTTAGAACCCTGAGGATAGGAGTTGGTGCTGTTTGGATGAGGAAAATTCAGTTCCTCAGATCCTCATTTTTTTTCATGTTTATTTGAGAGAGAGAGAGAGAGCAGTGGAGGGTCAGAGAGAGAGGGAGATACAGAATCTGAAGCAGGCTCCAGGCCCTGAGCTAGCAGTCAGCACAGAGCCCAACATGGGGCTCAAACCCACCAACCATGAGATCATGACCTGAGCCGAAGTCAGACACTTAACTGAGCCACCCGGGAGCCCCAGATCCTCATTGTTAATGAAGGAGAAAAACACCTATTTTATAGTCCTAATCATTAGCATAGCAAAACACTATTTAACAATATAGCCAAAATGTTTTCCCATGCTGCTGCAGCCTTCAAAACTATTTAAGGTACATTTCCCCTCATAACATTTTAAAGTTACTACAGAAAATGTTTCAGTTAATGTGCACATTAAAAGGGAGTGTTTCTCTTTGGGGTGGGTTTGTGGTGCAGGGGTGCGGCCCTGTGATCTGCTGCTGCTCACACGCAACCAAGTCAAACTCATGGTTTGACCCGAAGCTCTAGGTGTCAGATTTTCCAGGGAAATTTAGGTGGCCTTATGTTAAAGAGTGGTGACCAGGAAGCTGTCGAGTTTCAGATAGGACACCTTTGAAGAGGAATTGTTATCTTAGCTCCCTGTTGTTTTCAAACTCTGTCCCCTTCCACACACCGCTTGACAACACCTTCAGACCCAGTCCCCTCAAGTTGTGAGAAGGGGTACCAGCTAATCCAGAAGCTGTTTGGTGCCCCTCGGCACAGGCTTCCACATTCATCGCCTGTCCAATCCTTGAGAGCCCTGTGGGCTGGCAACTCCCTGCCCAAGTAGCTGCAAGGTCAAGTGCACTGGTCTCACTTTAGCGGACTGGACGCCAAGCCTTTCCTGCTCTCTCCTGGGTTATTGCCCAAGGGTCGTCTCAGGATGGAGGTGGCTGTAAGCGTCCCTTATTTTAAGGACAAGATTTCCACGGTTAAGCAGTCCTGGCTAACGGTTTCGGAGGTGTGGCAGTAGCAGCAGCCTGCTGTTCGGTACTTGCAGAGCAGCCAGCCCCGTCACCTGTCAGCAAGAGGACAGGAGCCACCTGAGGCCTCCCTGGGCCACAATGGAATCCCACGACTCCTGAATTTGGGTGGCTGTGTTGCTCGAGCCCTGAGCCTCACTGATGCCATGATGGCAGCCACTGCTCCTTCCTGAGCAGGGCCTGTCTACTGTAGGAACCTTCCAAAGGCCGTTACCAGCCAGCTGGCTCTTCCTTTCAGGGTGGGAGGGGATGCGTGGGGTGCGGGCGGTTTGGCCGCAGCTGGCCTGCCCTCAGCTGCTCCTCAGGTGGGTGGGATGACCTGCCTGCCCTTGGCTTGTGTGGAAATCACGAAAGCAGCTGGGAAGCAAGTTTGGAACACCCTCTGGAGTCTGGAGCATGAGTCCTACAAGGAGAGCCTTTCTTCCTTTATCTCGGCTAGTGGTGACCTGAGGCCCTTGGTAGCTGGCTTCCCAGGGCCAGTCTGCCTCCAGCCTCCTCTTGGTGCTGGTCCCAGCAGAAGTCACAAAAATGGTCTCAAACTCAAGGCCCCTCAGTGCCAGTTTGAGAGTCTAGGGGCGGGGTGTGGGGGGGAAACCTACCAAATGCGCCATTCTATTTACTGTTACTGTTCTCCAGCTAAGAAAGCTAGAGTTGAGAAAGGTAAAAATCACTCCCTGACACGCACAGCCAGCAAATGGCAGGTGTGGGATGCGAACTCCGGCCTGTGCCTCCAGAGTGCTCACATCTTCTCCAAGAGCATGCTGGCTGCCAGCTCATGGGTTCCTCCCACATGCTCCTCCCACATCCCGTGGACCCTCTTTCTCTTTCTGGGTCTCTGCCTCATAGCCACCCAACTGTCTCTCAGGCCCAAAGAGTCAGAGGCGGCACAGAAGTCCAAAGTTGCCTTTAATAGGAGATACAAAAATAGAAAAACCAGTTGAGGCTAAATGAGGGGGGGGCGGGGAGGAGGGCAGGACCACTCCTCACTGCTAACTCCCCCCACAGCCTGGTCCCCATCTTGGAGGAAAACAGGGCAAGGGGAGCTGAGTGGCGGCTGGATCTTCTGGGTCCCCCCAGAGCAAGGCAGGCTGAGGCCACCAGTGCCAGGAAGCCCAAGAAAGGAAAAGCACCAGAGCAGGTTCCCTGAGAGGCCGGGCTGTGGCGGCACCGCTCACACCACAGAACAGCCCTCAGCCGGGGGGTGCAGGACCCGGACCACGTCTTCGCGGCCCATGGAGGCCAGGGCATCCTCTAGCACCCCGAGGGTGGCACCACTGCCTTCTTTGCCAGCCCAGTCCCTCAGCAGGGTGTGGGCTGGCACCTGGCCCCGGGCCATGACCTCCACAGCATCAGTCTGGTAGCCCAGGCGGCCCGCCAGGCCCTGCCAGCCCTTGTCAGGTTCTCCTGATGCTTCCAGGAGCCGCTCCACTTCCTCTTGCTGCTGCTGAGGGAGGTGAAGGTAGAGCCGGCAGCCAAGTTCAGGATGTGGCCCTGGGGTGGGAGACAAGGGGCACGAGAGGGTCAGGTGGGCCAGGTGCTATGACACAGCCAGGTGCGAAAGTATAGATTGGGAAAGGGGGCTCACCCTGGCCGGGGGCGCAGGGCTCCCGACTGCTAGGACTGTCCAGGAAGACAATGCTGTCTCCGTGCCTCTGGTCCCTGTCGGAGGTCCCCAGCTCTGCGGTCCGAGCTTTGGCCAACTGCTGTCTTTGTTTATGTGAGCGCCAGCTGTGGGGAGCAGGGGGCACCTGCCAACCTGTTCCAGCCTTCACTGAGGCAGAGGGAGCTAGCTGCGAGGCCACTGGGGAGGGTGTGCCACAGGGCAGTGCCCAGACTACCTACCACTTGAAGGCCACGTAGGCGAGCAGACCGAGGACCACGGTGGCCAGGAGGGCACAGTAGACAGGGATAATGCTGCCTGAGGCCCCTGGAGGCTCAGGGGGGAATGGGGAGGAGGTATTGGGGGCCAGGGCTCCCCCTCCCCATACCTCTTCCCTGTCCCTGTCCTGCACCCTCCACGTCTTATCTGTACAGGGAAAGACAAACAGGATCAAGGGCAAGGAATCAAGGCCAAGGTCCCTGGTAGCCCCACTTAGACTTTGCTGCCAAAAAGATTTGAAACAACAGTCCCTTACTACGTAGAGTCAAAAACGCATAGCATGGCATCAGGAGCTGGCTGGCCTTCATCTCTCACAGCCTCCCCTGGGCTCGCCACTCTTGGGACCCCTAGCCCTTCCCAGGTGTACCCTTCTCCCAGGTTTCCAGAAGCCCGCTCCTGCGGTTGTACTCTCTCCATCTGACAAACTGGCAGGTACCACCTACTCTGGGAAGGCTTCCTTGATCTCTTCCAGTCTCTCCCTTTCCTGGCTCCTGTTGTCCCTCCCCTGTCTACTGGGGCATTAAACTGTGTGTCCTGTCTCTCCCACCAAGTCCGTGAGAGCCAACAGACTCATGTTGGTCCCCATGGGGGTCTCTGCACATGAGACAGACCTTGTAGGTTTGTACAAAATAAAGCTGAGCTGCAAGGCAAGTAAAGGCTGCTGCTCACTTCTGCCTGGAGCCAGTGATTTGCAGTCCAGTGCAGGCAGGGTACAGGGACTCCAGAGCTTGTAACTGGACTTGTGTGTGACCTACCCACCTACCCAGTGCCCCCAAACCTGGATCGACAGTTTCCTACCCACATGCGCCTTACCTTCCCTGTGGCTGGAGTTGTGAAGCATGGCTCTGCTGGCCAGCAGCGCTCCCGTGGACTGCATCTCTTCGAGAAGATGTTGGAGTGTCATTCCAACCCTGAGGCAAAGGAGCTGGGACACTCCCAAAGGGGCTAAGTGTAGCGAGACGCGAGAAATTCCTCAGGCCTGATGTCAGGAGTCCCTTGGTAGAGTCTTGTCCCCCTCCCTGGCTCACTCCATCCTGATTCACCTCGGGGCTGGTTACCCGCCCTCCTCCCCACTCACCAACCAGGACCAGTTTCTTCCTGGGTCAGATGGGGGTGGGGTTGACAGAGCTGGCCCCCCTGGCCAAAGCTGGAGAAGCCAGGGTGCAGCTCAGGATGGCGGGGAGCAGGCTGGAAACCACCCTGTATCTCAAAGACCTTGGCAAACCCTTGGTCTGAGTCCAGGGACAGCACGAGAGGACCAGAGACTCCCATCCCCACTGCAGCCAGAGCTAGGCCAGAGGCTTGCTTAGTGACAGTCCCCACCCCCCCCAGACTTCTCAGAATGAGCCTGGGAACCCAACACCCTAAGGCAGCGCTACCTGGAGTGCCCGTGGCCCCCCGGCTCCTGCCTCCAGGGTCGGTATCTAGCCCTCACAGGAGGGCTCCTTGGTGGGTTCAGCACGGGCAGAGAATATATGGGCTAAGGGGCCTCCTGGTCCTTTCTCATCTGAGAACTGAGACGGCCTTGAGGCCAGAAACCTACAGGCTAGGATTACTCAGTCCCAGGACCCATGTGGACCTACAGGCGGATCCTGCTGGGACCTGCTTCCTGAGGCCTGGGTAAGAGAAGCCGAGTCTAGGCTGCGGAGGGATCCTGCCGGGAAGGCATGGAGAAGAAACCTGGGGGAAGGCCCTCTAACTCCCCGACATCCACCACCACATCCGGCCTTGTCTCCAAACTCACTTCCCCGCCCAGTCTGCAAGTGGGTCTGGGACAGAGACTGCGATGGCCCTTGCCACGAGTGGGGCTTGTACATCTGAATCGCTTACCATAGAAGGGGCCCTTCCCGGATCCTGGTTGGCAGGTGGGCTTGTGACTAGAGCGCCTAGACAAGCCAGGCCGGTCTCTGCCCGACCCACCCCGCTGGAGCCTCTACCCCCAATCCCCGCGCGCGCGCGCACACACACACACACACACACACACACACACACATCTCCAGGCCACAAATCTCGCCCGCACATGCCCACACGGACGCCGGCATGATGGACGGCACCCGCGGGATCGCAGGCCTCGAGGTAGGAGACTGAAAAGCAGCCCTCGGCTCTCCAGGTCCAGGAAGATCCAGGGCTCTGTCCCCAAACCCTCTCCTGACCTGCAGCGGCCGTCCCTCGGAGGCTCCCGGGATCCACTCGGGCTGGCGGGGCTCCAGCCTCCGCGCCGCGAGGCTACCGTGGGCTAGCAGTGACTGGTGCGTGGAGTCCCCGGGGAGGCCAACTTCGGCGCGAGGCGGGCGGTCCCGGGCCGCCCGCGAAGCAGCCGCCTAGGCCCGAACGCGGGGGCGCGCGGGGGCGCGGCCATCATTGGCCCCGCCCCGCGCAGGGACGCGCACATGTGCGGAGATGTTGCGTGGGCGCGCTGAGAGCTGGGAACCACCCGCAGGGGAGAAACGGTGGGCGAGGCCCCCAGGGACCGGGACGGCGCGGCTGGGGAAACTGAGGCCACGCGGAGGGAACGAGTCGCCCCGATGGGCTCATGGGCCAGAGGGAAGCGAGGCCGGGACGGTAGCCTAGGCAGGCGGAGACGCCGCGCGCACGCATACTCAGAGGCGAAGCAGCTACAAAACCAGGCCAAGTTTATTGCCGAGACCGGGAGAGCGAGGGGCCGCCTTTAGAGATTAAGGCCACAGTCCGGGCCCCGTGCTCTGCCGGGACGCGGGGCTGGGGAGCCTGGGCTCCCGCCCCACACTGTGCAAAAAGTGCAGTGCTGCCGCTGAGGCCAGTGCCAGACTCCGGACGGTCCCTCTGCCGGCGAGGGGCGGGACTTCCTGGAGTCAACCGCCCACCAATCCCTGAGCTGGGCGGGGGTGGGGTCCCGCCCACCCCCGGAGCCGGGCCGACCCCCGGCCTCCGCCACTGAGTCTCCTCCTCCGGGTTCCCGCCGACTCCTGGGCTTTGCCTCCAAGGGCGGAGCCTCTGGGGGAGGAGCCTGCGCTGTGGGGCGTGGCGGCTGTCAGCGCGCCTCTCCAGGGTTGTACTCTGTCTCCCCCGAGGACACCTGGGAGATGCGCCTGGAGGACCGCCACAGCTTCCGCGCGAACTGGCTGCTGCGCGCCTAAGGGGAGCACGATAGGGAGAAGTGGGCCAGGACTATCGCCCCCACCCCACCCCCCCGATCGAGGCCCACCCTGCCCCTATCCTCACCTCAGAGGGCTGCCCCGCGCCCACCACGATAAGCTTGCCGTCCTCCAGGCCCACGAGCACATGGCTGCGCTCCTTGGTCACAGCCACACTTCGGATGGGCACCTTCATGGGTAGAGGAGGCGCGGCTGGGAGCAGTCTGCAGGGAGGGAGGGATATACTCTCAAGTGCAAGTTAGCTTTGGGTCTCTTCATTCTCTCAGGTACCTTCTCTGCCCACTGGGGGAACAGGAGACAGTGGTGAAGCATGTGCCCACAGACATGTAAGGGGCTGTGGGTACTCGCTGGAGAGGGGCGGGGGAGAGGCGGTTAGCATCTCTTAGTATCTTCTTACAATGACTACCACCCTGAGGATCCATGAACTCATAAATAGTGGAACTCACTTGTTCAGGTGGAGGATGTGCAGGGCACACTGCGCTGTGCCCAGCAAAACAAAGTCCTCCGTCACCGCCAGGGCTGTGGGCTGCTCTACCAGGGGCAGTGAAACCCGTAACTTCCCATTCACTGAGTACAGGTGCAAGGAGTAGGTGACCTAGAAGAAGCAAGAGGTGTCAGCAAGGACAGAACACCAACTACCACCTTCTTGGCTGAGCACCCCTTTTCCATACCTGAGCCCCCACACGCTCCCACGCCGAGCTCTGTACCACAATCTGGCCCTCAGACCCCAGCGCCAGGTGGGACACAGGTCCGGGTAACGTGGCCCCTGGGGGCTGTAGTGCTGCCACAAATTGGCCACGGCGTACGGTGTGGATGATCACAGTTCCATCCTGCAGGAAGGCAGCTTAGGGTGCCGGGCAGGGGTCTCTAATCTCCAGGGGCATTGCCTAGCAAACTTGGCCTCCCCTGGGCACAGGCGCACACACACCTCAGATCCAGACACAGCCATGTCGAGTTCAGTGCTGATGGCCACACAGCTCACTGCAGCCTCATGCCCATATAGGACCTGCACGGGCTTTGATGCCAGTCCCACCGAGAGACCACCCTGTAGAGAACCAGGGCTGGGTCAGAACTGGGAACATCTCACTACCCTGGCCCCTGAGTGAGAAGGCTAAGGCTCAAGAAAAGTGACAGCCTCATCCAAAGCTGGAGGGTCATGGAGCCCCAGCCTTGCTCACGGTAGCAGAGAGAAGGGCAGGTCTGGACTCTGGGGGCCCCACAGGGCTGCCCCCCAGCATACCTCCTGCAGGAGCCGCCACACCATGCACGTGGTGTCCCGGGAGCCCGAGATGAGGTAGATGCCGCAGGTGTCCAATGCAAGGCAGGTCACTACATCTGCATGGGGAGGGGAGGGTACAGGTAGAGCAAAGTAGTCACACCCTCCCTGGCCAGCTTCCCCTACCCACACCACCCCCCATCCAAGGCTGCCCATTACCAAGGTGGCGGTTGAGTTGCTTCAGCAGCTTGCCCCGGGATAGTGAGGTCACGCGCAGACTGCCATCCCAGTGGCCACCACTGAACAGCAACTTTCCGTCGGGGGTCACTGCCAGGGCTTGCCCACTCACATCACTGCCTGGCACCCACGGGCCACTCAGCAGTCGCTGCATCCTGATCCAGTGAGGGGGATGACAGGTGAGGCCGGGCCAAGGAGACCCAGGCCCTCAGAGACCTTGGCCAGACCCTGCCACCGGCCCACGCTCTGACTGGGCCGGGAGACGAGTCAGGAGCCAGGGTATTTAGAGCCCACCCCTGCCCACACCCCTCTGTCCTACTTGGGGTTGCCTATGGTGGGGTCTTTGCTGAAGCTGAAGTAGTTGTTTATGTTACGGTCATAGGGCAACCAGCTGTGGGTGCCCAGCAGCCCACTGGCACTCACGGTCACCTGTGGGCAAGAGGGGGCAGAGGTGGGTGTGGGGCGGAGTCAGAGAGGGGTGCAGCTCAGGTGGGCTCTGCCTGGAGCACTTACCAGCAGGTCTGAGGAGCCCTGGGTGATGAAGGAGTGGGACTGCCGGTGGGGAACCAGGGCCAGCACCAGGGGCACGCCATCACTGATGGCCTGCAGAGCAGAGTACTGGGCTGGCCGTGCTTGAGTGGTCAGCCGGGTGCCCTGCTCCCGCACCTGCAGCCTGGGGTGCCCTCCTTTCCCCTCCCCTCCACCCCCAGTGGCCACACACTAGGCATCATAGAGGCAGAGGTCCCTCTGAGAAACAGTCAGGAGAGATCAGCAGGCCTTCAGGAGGGCATCTCAGAAAGGGAGTGAGAAGCAGGGATGGACACAGAAGGTCCTTCAGAATCTCAAGCTTGGTCTCAACCTTGGTCCCCCAACCCCATTACTTCATACTCCCCAGCCTGCTGGCAGCAGGGGAGGAGGAACTAAAAACGTCGGGCCTGGGGGCATTCTGATGTAAGCGGGAAGGTGAGAAAAGAAGCACCCAAGACCAGATCCCCTTCCTTCCGGTCTCCTTAAGGTTTTCAGAGACGGCTGGGTGAGTCAACACCTTGTCCTGGCCTTGGCAAAGAAGGTGCCCCAGCCCCACTCCCACATTCCTCTCAAGTTACCTCTTTTCCAAAGGTGTCTAACACCAGTGGTCTTGATTTAGGTTTCCCATCTGCCCCAAGAAGTTGGTAAGGACAGTGGAGTTAAACCCATTTCACAGAGCAGGAAGATGAAGTCCTGCCTCCCCTCACCTCCGCAAAGAAGGCCTTCAGCTGGTCCAGGTGCTGGAAGATGCTAGGTGAGCTAGTGTCCATACGTGCAAGGCGTTGGGCTGCCTCCTCAGCTGATAGCCGAGCTGGATGTGGCTCCTGTGGACAAGTGGCCAGTCAGTTCCATGGCATGGGCGCCCCTGACCATTATTGTTTTTCTTTAATGTTTATTTATTTTTGAGAGAGACAGAGCATGAGCATGAGCAGGGGAGGGGCAGAGAGAGAGGGAGACACAGAATCTGAACAGGCTCTAGGCTCCAAGCTGTTAGCACACAGCCAGACGCGAGGCTCACACTCATGAACCGTGAGATCACGACCTGAGTGGAAGTTGGATGCTTAACTGACTGAGCCACCCAGGTGCCCCTCTTTTGTTTTTTTAAGTTTATTTATTGCATTAGAGAGAGTGTGAGAGAAACACTGTGTGCACATGTTCAAGTGGGAGAGGAGCAGAGAGAGAGAGAATCCCAAGCCAGCTCTGTACTGCTAGTACAGAGCCAGACGTGGGGCTTGAACTCACGAACTGCAAGAGAGCCGAAGTCGGAAGCTTAACTGACTGAGCGCGCCATATCTGACTATTAACCTCCAAGCTGGCCTTACCTTTAGCAGCTGACAGGGAGTCTGCCCAAAATTACTGATGATGCCCTCCAGAGCCTTCCGTTCCCGCTCATCCGCCACGTGGTCCAGGTCCACAGCCCCTGCCCAGGGAGGCAGAGCAGTCAGGGCTCTGTCTGTGCCCTCTGCCCTCAGCCCTCCTTACCTCTGCCCCACCCCCACTTGAGGCCAGCGCACTGCCCACCCTCATAGGTGCAGTAATAGAAGACATTGAGAGCCTCCTCTGCGGCCCGTCCTCGTTGCTTGTAGCCAAAGATGAGGTCAATCCATTCGTGTAGGTGGGCAGACACATACTCCGACTCCTGGGGGTGGGGAGGGGGGGCCAATCAGTCCAGGGACGGCTGACCCCCCAACGCCCACCCCTGACCCTCAACCCTGGCTATCCGCCTGTCTATGTTCCTCTCCTCACCAGAGCCTGGCGGTGCTGCTGGATGAAGTCCTCAGGAGAGCTGGCCCACGGCGGCAGCACCACATCGCCCACCTTCTCATTGGTCAGCTGGAGGCAGCCCAAGTCGAAGCCTGGCAAGGAGGTCAGCTGTCTCGCTGTCACCTGCTCCCTGGCCACCCCCAGCCTGTGCGGCCCGTGCCCCGGCCTCCCAGCCCCATGCCAGCTCTTACCGTTCTGGTTCTCTAGGAAGTCAGGGAAGTAGAAGAACTCTGGGATGA